TTCATTTTTCAGGCTCCCCCTTTTTCTACTAATAATCATGAAAATAACACCCTTCCTGTCTACATTCATTTCTCATGATATCTATGGAAGGCGCCATGATTGTCACACAAGCTGGACTTCAAACATGTCCACTTTTGTTCATCTCCACTCCCATGGTGGATTGACTGGTCTTATTAACTTGCCACTAAAGAAAGCTCACTTTGGGGTGTCATGCCTTGTAACCTTGGTCAGCTATGCAATCTATTATCAAGTATGCATGCATGCAGGGCAGTTGTGGGCCAAAATTAGGCAACCCCTAGGCTTTCGAGTTGGGGACAGTGGAATTGGGTAGGGAAGGGGGGCAATTTACAAAGCAGAGACAACATTGTTTAGCCTTTGCTGTCTTTTCAGCTCACAGGAAATGACAAGGGCATTGCATTTCTGGCAAATCATATATGTTTCTGTACTTGTAGAAAATGTTCTTAGAATGTGGTTACATTGGTTTTCTTTTGTACTTTTTTTTTTTTTTTTCTTGTGGCTTAGGTCTGGTAAGCTGCATAAATTCTACAGCTTCTACAGTTTTTTTTTTAATATTAATTCACAATGGTGTTAGAGCCACAAAGCAACGAATGTAATGAATCTTATTGATGTTTTACATTGGCAGATTCATATGCAGAGAATGTTTGGTTAATGTAACATGCACGGCCTTATAAACATGCCCTAAAGAATGGGTGCTCAACCTGTGGACCTCAAGCTGACCCCCATCACACCTCAGCCTTTGGGAGTCATGCTTGTAACCTTGTCAGCCTTGCAATGCCTCATGGGACTTGTAGGTCCACAACAGCTGGAGGGCCACAGGTTGAGCACCCAGGCCCCAAAGGATTACTGGTAAAATGCATGAACATCATTACCGTAGATCGCTGAAAAATACAGAAATTACCTCTTTGGTAGTAAGGACTAACAAAAACCATCTTCACTGTGTCACAAGTCAAAAGCTGTCCTGCATGCAAGGTACCTTCAATTCTGTAGATGTCTAGAGCAGAAGTTCTCAAATCAGACCTAAGGCTTCACTGGAAATTCCAGCTACTCTGTGCTTTCAGCAGTTACATACTCCTGTGTTACAGAGAAGATTGGCAAAATGTGTGCACTGCTGAGGTCTGAGGACAGTTTTTAGGAATTTGTAAGATAGAACCTTATTTCTACAAATCTGTAATATTGCTCCTTTTTGATTGTTTTGCCATGCTTTAGTCCATTTACTGGCAATATTCATCTGTAGTTAGAAGAGTTTCCAGAATCTCATCGCATCTAAGCTGTTCACTTGTTCTTTGCTCTGTGGCCAGGCGGGTACACAGCCCAGGAACCCACTCTATGTATACACTCCGCTTCAAACAATGGACCACACATGACTTCACAAAAATCCAACAGGTTTAAATGATGGACAGCACACACTGCATACTTTCACATTAGGTTTGCCCTCTGTGTTTCACACATCTAGAGCTTAAATTCAAACCATATATGGGCAAGGCTGAATGTACCAAAGCTGATCAACGATCAACTTTGGTACAACCAGCCTGTCGGATTTACCATGCGATTACTGCTAGCAGCTATTATAGTCTGTAGCAGTAATTACCATGTTCTCCCGGAGGGGATGGCTCCCCTCACCGGAAGAACACACTGGCTTCTTGGGAGGGATTCCCCATCAACAATGACTGTGTTGGAGGAATCGAGTGATTTTCTTTCTTGCAAAAAAAAAAAAAAAAAAAAAAAAAAAAAAAAAAATCGCTCCATCTATGGCCGGCTTTAGTTGTAAACGTGCCGGATCTTTGCGAGGTCACTGTTGTGTGACCTATTGTTTGAAGCTGAAAATCTATCTACAGTGTACAAAAGTTCTAAATGGGAAATTGGCTAAAAATTGGTTTAAAAAAAGTATTATCATCAAACTTAAAATCAGGGAATTTGAGAGTTATTTTTTCCAGCTTCCCTCTGATGAAAATAATGGGTTGAAATTGGTTTTGGGACAATATTTGTGAATTTTTCATAAACTCAAAAGATAAATAATTCCTATAAACTGGTAAATGTAGCTTCAAAACAGATTATGCTGGGTTATTAAAAAGCAATATAGAAATGTGGGGAAATTGTCCATGCCAACTACTGTATATACTGTAAATAGGTTCAAATATAAGAAAGTATATTTAAACACCTTTTAACCTTTATAAATGGTGAGCAGGATTTGGCTCCCAAGCTCCCAAATGATCAGATCAAACAGTTTGTGGTACTCAAACTGTCGCATTACTTCTAAAAATCAGACACAGTTTTATGTCTGCCTATGTACCCTTCTGCTGCCACAAGATTAAAAAAATCATTTTAGACCTGAACATTACACAAAATCCCCAAACATTATATATTTTCTGAAATCAGAGACCCTAGAGAATATAATAGTGGTCGTTCCAATTTTTTTATGTCGCATGATATTACCACACAATTTCAGTAAATAAATACAAGTTAGTTAATTTTAGGGCACAAACAAAAGCAATAAATCACTGATTTTTTTTGTAAACTATAAAAGATGAGGTTTCAGCGAGTAAATAGATATCAAACCTGTCAAACCTTAAATTTGCGTGCGCTCGTGAAATGGTGACGAACTTCAGTACCCTTTATTATCTATAGGTGAAGCTTTTAAAGCCCTTTCTAGGTCATCAGTTTAGTGTTACAGAGGAAGTCTGGTGCTAGAATTATTGCTTTCATTCTGGCGTACGCGGCAATATGTAACATGTACATCACAATCGACGTTTTCATGTGTAGGTGTCCCGGCGTGTGCTTTTACATTTGTACGTGTGCACATGTGGGGGGTGGCTCAATATTTTTTTTGGGGGGGGGGGGGGTATGTTATGTGCTTTGGTGTACCCTTCATTTTTTCAAAATTAAAAAAAAAAAAATTTCTACTTTTTTTTTTTTTACTTTTTTTTTCCCCCCCCCCCCATCACGTAGGGGACAATGTCCCCTATGTGATGATTTTTTTTGGTGACAGTTTCTCTTTATGGAGACATCCAAGGTCTAAAAGACCCTGGATGTCTCCCCTCTGCTCCCCTGAATGTAATGAAGTGCACAATCTTTTCCAGCCTCAATTGCTGGGAATCTCTGAACGGGGACCCGTTGGGGAGGGGAATGGACGTGTTCACTCTCCTCTAGCCACCAGCGGTGGTGAGTCGGTCCCAGGCCCGCCGCAGATGGGCAAGCAGAGCCCAGGAGACAGTAGGCAGGGGGAGCTTTACACAAGGGGGGTGGAGAGGCTGGCACTATGTGGGAGAAATCTACGGCAACACCTGAATGCTTCCACCTGACAGGTGAGCCCTGCTGCTTGCGCGCAGCAGAACTGAAGGTAAAAACAAAACTACCTGCCCGGTACTACATGTCCCGGGCGTCGGGCATAAAATGAAAGCACGGAAAAATATAAAATGATGCTTTGCTGATGACGACTATAGCAGTTTTAATTTATAGTACTTAGTGCCAATAGTGCTACAGGCCAGCTGCTTTCTTTTTCATTCAGACATTAACTGGAATCAATCAATACTGCACCTAGTGACTGCTGTCCCTAGATTTAAAAGTCAGTAGTTCATTACTTTATCATCTATGCATTCCCAGCTACTATTTTATTATTTTATCTTTTGTGAAATAAACAAAGGTGTACTCAACAGGCTTAAACCTCACTATCACACATAGTTAACTACTTTTGGTTTAGATAATGGTTTTAAATGTGTTGTGAAGTAACATCATTTTATATATACAGTATATAAAAATATACAGCATTACAGTTTAGCAATAATAAATTAGATACACCCTTTTCTCCACTTTTTCCCTTCAGAAATTGGATCCAATCTGCACACTGCAAAGACTGCTAAACTATTGTGATAATGAGGCCTGTCTAAGCAAGCCTGGAAAATCAGATTGTTGGGGGGAAGAGAGCGCTGAAATCCTATAAAAAGGTATGTGTCTTCATAAATTTGAGAGTATGGTTTATAACTATATAGCAAGGTATAATTTTAAATCTTAAAAGAAAAACGCAGGGATAGGCAAAAAAAAAAAATCACCCGTTAGTAGCATGAAAAAGGCACCTGAATGGATCAAATAAGCATCAAAACACGTATGCAGAAAAAACATCCAGACTGTGTTTCTATCGTGAGAACTAGCCCTTATTCAAATACAGATGGAACCATAAAAGACAGGACGACAGTAGAACAGAACGCATGACATTTTTTATAAATGGTCAGATTAATAGGAAGCTCTACAGAAGCTTTTCTAAACTTAAATATGGGGTAATCAGAGGACATGAAGCAAAACAAGTAGACATGCTTGAATCAGAATGTCCATCTACTTTTCACTGCTCAGGATTGGGTAATGTAGAAAAATAGCAAGAGTGCTTCCTATTACAGGCTGCCAAGTTAAAAATGCGCAAATAATCAAGTCGATGCCTTTATTGCACAAATAATTATGTATCCTGCCAATTAATAATATGTCCTGCTCTTCAACTAAGCTTAAAGTTAATGTCCAACCAAAACTAAAAGGGGGGGGCTGGGGAGGGGTTAGAAGGAGCTTCAGTTATAAGTGTGATTACTAAACTGGGTCAATAGTAGTAATATGAAAAATATCTGCCATATTTGGGTTTTTTTTTTAATTAAACTATACATTTTTTTAATTGATCATTTAAGTACAAAATATGCTTTCACAAAGTGAGGGACAGTGGTTGCACTTTGTATGCTAGTAACGTGAGCGAACGTTTAGATGGCTGATGCTAACCTTGTTTTGTAGGAACTCTATTTTCAGGTAGTGAAGTGAATTTCAACCAACTGCCAATATGGTCATATAAGATAATCAAAAAAATTTATTTTCTTTTAACAGGTAGAAAAATGTATCCTACTTCAAATTCTAATGGCTTGACGCCTGGAAATCAAAACTACCATATGGATAATTTCACTAAATATTCCAATAACTCCACCATAACAGACAATTCTTCAACATGTTCAATGGATGAGACATCACTTGGTGCTGCTTTGGTGGTTTTTTATGCTTTAATTTTTATTTTGGGATTGTTAGGCAACATGTTGGCCTTATATGTGTTTCTGTTCATCCACAACAAAAGAAACTCTGTACAAATTTACCTCCTCAATGCGGCAATAGCTGACCTGCTACTGATTTTCTGCCTTCCATTCCGAATTATATATCACATCACCCAGGAGTGGAAACTGGGAGTTGTATTCTGCAAAATTATTGGCAACTTATTTTACATGAACATGTACATTAGTATTGTACTTTTGGGCCTCATCAGTATGGATCGCTATATAAAAGTTAAAAAGTCACAGCGAAGACGGAAAGTTTCAAGAAGGAAATGCAGTATTCAGATCTGCTGCAGCTTGTGGGTGGCAGCCATTTTTTCTGGACTCCTCCATATTGCAACACAGTCAACGAAGAACCAATCAAATGAAAATGTTTGCTTTCATTATACAAACAGGAAAGATGCAGTTTGGCAAGCAGCATTTAATTACTTTATTGTAGTGATCTTCTGGATAGTGTTTATTATGCTGATCCTATCATATGTGAAGATAGGCAAGAACCTTCGCAAGATTTCCAGAGAGCGTGCCTACCTACCAAATGCTGGGAGATATAACAGTACAGCTTACAAATCATTTTTTGTCCTTTTCATCTTTACCCTGTGCTTTGTACCTTATCATACCTTTAGGATTGTATATATTACAACACAGCTGCAAAATATTTCATGTTATTGGATAGAGCGAGTTCACAAAACAAATGAAATCACATTGGTGTTTTCAGCTTTCAACAGCTGCTTGGACCCGGTCATGTATTTCCTATTGTCTAGCAGTGTCCGTAAAACAGTGTTTCGCTTGCTCTGTAAAGGGAGCCGGGATAGTCAAGCAGGAGTGAAAGCAACACATCAGACCTCCATCATGGATATACTCTACCTGACAGTGTGCCCACTGTATACTCTCAGACTGCCACTCCTCTTAATCAAAGAAGAATCATCACAAAACAAAGTGAAAATAAGTAACAAAAAATGAATTTGAATTACTTTTGATAAAACCAGGGTATCGATTTAATTTTCTAAAAGACATCCACATCTCTCTTACCTCTGCTTCCTATTCTTCAATTAAACATAAAAAAATGCAGAAACTTTTTGAAGAACCCTCATACTTTAAAGTAGAACTAAAGACAAACCTTTTTTTTTCCATTATGGACAGAGTAATGGAAGGGTATAACCCCTGTAAGGTTTATTTTTGGCATTCCACTGTGGAGATTTCCCTTCACTTCCTTTCTCATAGCCAAAACAGGAAGTGAGAGAAAATCCCTCTAAAATTAGGGAATCCCCATTGTCACCAGAGCTGGTATCCCCCATTGGAAGATATCTCCAATATTCCTGGTTTGGGGACAACCCAAAATTTGGTAATTTCTCTTAGTGATGACAATAAGCAGATAAGAGAGAGAGAGATTTCCCTATCAGGGGCAGAGATGACAATAAAACCTGACTGGTGTTCTAATCCCTATCCACTCTATCCAAAACTAAAAAAAAAAAAAAAAATCTTACCTTTAAAATCTTACCTTTCTGGGTGTAACAACCAGAGGTGAACATAGCCTTTAAAGTGGAAGTAAACTCCCACAGCACACTTATAGCTACAGGTAAGCTTATAATAAAGCTTACCTGTGGGTACAAGGAATATCTCCTAAATGTGCACCAGATTAGGAGACATCCAGTGTTCCTGCAGCCGATGACATCACCGGCGCATGCACTCTGAAGAAATGGCATACCTGTCTCGTTCCTTCAGAGCTCTGTGCCGTGGCCAAGTCTCCTGGGAGTGATGTCATCGTGGCTCAGTCAATCAAGCAGCCAGAGCCCACAAGCCCGGAAGGATGACCAGGTGAAGATGGAAGCCCTGTCAGTGGTTAAAGTGCACCACTGGAGGACTTTGTTCTAAGGTATGTCTTTCAGAATGTGCTTTCATCGCATTATTTTGCAGGGGATTTTTTTTTTTTTCTAAATTTTTTTTTTTTTTTGACGGTTAACTACAGCTTTAAGTGCAGTAACCCAAGCAAGCAATAAGGATCCATCATGAACCAGACTGATTTTTGTGAATTCTGAATAGTTATTACTATGGACCACTGCAAAATAATCTAAATGTGTAATAAAGTAAAAAAAAAGTAAATATTTATATTTCCTGCAGCCCGTGTGTGAAAACTCAACCAAGATGCAGAAATCTTGCCCCCCATCATATGTTGTGGTTCCTCCCACAGGTTCATAAGTCCTGCAGTGGCATACTTGACAGTGGAAGGAACCACCGCATGCAGCAGATTAACCAAAAAATGCTAGTTCCTATGTTTTTGGAGCTGGCTCTTACAACGTTGTCCTGTACTGACCACAATCACATTTATCTACCAGTATTACGCAGTGTTTATATTTTTGTGAAAAAACATTTTAAATGAATTGGAGTAACTGATGGGAAAAAATGGAAATAAAAATGCTTTATACAGTTGCTGATCAGACTTGTGTATTTTAGAGAATACCTTGCTAGAAATTAATTTGCCATTTTTAAAATCGGGTATATCTTCTTTTTGATCCCCATTATCTTTGAGAAATGACCCATTTTCTTCCAAAATTCAGACTACCTGGTATTCTGCTGTAGCGCTAAAAGCAGCGTAAAAGCAGCAAAAGCGGAAGCTCCGCTAATTTTCCTCCTCCCCCCCCCCCCCCCTCCACTGCCATATTTGGCACCTTTTTTGTTGGGGGGCGGATACCTGTTTTTGAAAGGTACCCGCTCCCACTTCCGGCTCAGGTCGCCGTGGCGAACGTGAGCCGGACGTTCGGCCCCCTCCCGCAGTCTCCTGGGAACCTTCACAGGTCCCAGAAGACTGCTGGACCAATGAGAATGCACAGCAGGACTCACGCATGCGCAGTGGGCACCCGGCTGTGAAGATGCAAGCCTGGTGCCCACAGCTGTGATGCCGACGCAGGGGAGAGAAGAGGCCTGGTGCCCACAGTTGTGATGCCGACGCAGGGCAGAGAAGAGGCAGAGAAGGGACTGCGTGGGTAAGCACATCGCTGGACACTGGGACAGGTGAGTGTGTGTTTATTAAAAGTCAGCAGCTACAGTTTTTGTAGATGCTGACTTTTAATAAACACAAAACTGACTGGAACTCCGCATTAAGCTGACCACAGATGGATTGAAATTCATCCGGTTCAGCAGGAACTGACTGAATTTTGATTCATCAGACTGTCGAGTTTTTTTTTTTTCTTGCTGGCTCTAGCCACAAGCAGTGATCAATGTATTCTGATGATGGGGAAACCTCCCCTGCACTCCCAGCCGGAAGAACACAACAGCACTGCGGGAGGCACAATTTTCTTTCCTTCAGCCTGTGGTTGGTGCAATATTGGTGCAAATGAATGACTGCAAAAACTTCAAAGTCTTAGAGCAACAAAGTGTGAGAATGTGGTTTGATCCCAGAAGTGATTCTTATCAGGATCAAGGGACTGGTTAATCGGATCCATTTGGATGGCTGTATGCCAAGATAAAAATGGTACCTGAACCTCGTATGGAAGATGGAGGACTTAACAAGGTTTTGCCTGTAATGAGACTTCTTTTGGTTCTGGACCCTGCGTTTTCCAGCAGGGAGCTATACAGGTCCCAGCGAAAGGACCCCAAAAATTATAGGGAGACCAAGTCCTTGAAGGTCCTTAAGTGTCAAGACCTGCTGTGATTGGTGAAGATTGGGTGTCTATTAGCAGAGCCCTGCAGTGGGATTGGTAAATTTGCCCCTTTTCTTTTCTTCTCTTTTTGTATAGTATAGTATAAAGAAAGTTACAAAGACTGTACAGTAGCAGCAAATATAAAAACAATGTTTAATAGCGCAGGACATACTACTTCATGAGTACATCAAACACAGATATGTCAGTAGGAAAAAAAAAAAAACAATGCTGGAAATGAAAGCATTCCCAGGAAAAGAGACTGTAAAAGGAAATAGAGGAGAGAATATCATGGTCAAAACACATGAAAGCAATACTCAGTCAAGAATATCAAGTATAGTTATACAGCCTAGTGTACGGTACTGGGCATTATATCAGATTATGATACGTATTACCTTAAAGTATTATGAGACTAGTACATAGTAATGAAATTGGTGTAGGATTGTTACAGACAGGCAGTACATGCTGGGTGATGTAGCCAGGTATTCCATTGCTTCCAAAATAGTGCATGTGCTCCATTTTTTTTTTTTGCAAACAGTTTCATATTGGGTTTGCGTATTGAGATTTTGAAGGAAAATTGCTCCTTTAGGAGGTTCATATTGTTTCCAAGCCATAGCAATAGTCTTTCTGACCGCAATTAAACCATGAATTATGAAAGGGTTGTGGAGAAGGGCCCAAGTGTCATGGAGTAAAAGAAGAAATGATGTTGCCGGGGTTGCAGGCTAAGGAGGTTTTGAGTACTGTAGAGAGAACGTAAAACACATTTCCAAAAAAGGTATTATTTAGGGCAGGACCACCAGATGTGTATTAGTGAGCCAGTATTGATGCAGTTTTTCCAACAATCCGAGGATGTAGATGAGTTGAATTTGGACGATCTTACTGGGGTGTACTATCAGTGATATAGTATTTTCAGGGACATCTCCCAGTAGGTAATGCATTTTGTAGCAACTGCATTGCTTTATTCCATTGTGATAACTAAAAGCCCTGTGAAAGTTCTGCTTCCCATAGTTTCATTGCAGTTTTATGCAAGGAGAGGTTGCTAGTACGCTTGCAGTAGAAAAAGGAGGAGATCTCTTTAGAACAGGGGTCCTCAAACTGCAACCCACTTCTTAATAGGTGATTTACCAGTGCTGATTGGCATATTCAAGGCTCTGGACCTCTTTTTATGTCCTTTTCCATCTTTATAAAGTTCCATTACCTTGTTACGCAGGACTTTTGACAGTTCTTTTCTGATCCCCATGGCTCAGTATCTAGCCTGGTCAGTGCTTCCACGTAAAAGCTAACAAACTCATTGACTATTTATACACTGACACTAATTGTAATATAAAAAGCCACAGATGTGGGACATTAACCTCTAATTGGCATTTTAACCCTTGTGTGTCTGTACCAAGGCCACACATTCCACCGTATGTAAACTTTTGATCATGGCCATTTGGGCGATTTCTGTTATCATTATGATTTATAAAAGGAGCCAAACAACTATGTGCTAATAAATGGCTTCATATGATCATCATCCTTCAATAAAAGAGCATTTTTTTTTGGCATGATCAGTCATATTTTCAATATCAATGCCAAAATTACACAATTTCTGCCAGGGTATGTAAACCTTTGAGCACAACTGTATAGTAGTTGATCTCAGCCTTGATTTTCTGTAGATAAGCAGAAATAAGCGGAATTGGTAGGGTTCTGAAAAAGACACCATATAAATGGTAGAAGTGACATTTTAATAGTCGCTGCCTGTCCTGCCCATGACACCTGGGCTGTTAAAAAGGATGTGGTTTGTTGCTTAATGGAAAGTAGTAGACTTTCGTAGTTAGTTTTATATATGGAGCAAGGTGTAGAGAGCTTAAAACCTAGGTATTTGATGGTAGAGTTGGGGGCCCAAGAGAAGCTAGAGGATGTCGTAATTGCATTTTTGATGTGGGGAGAAAATGCTACAGGAAGCATATAAGATTTTGACATGTTGACTTTGTATTAAGAGACGCGACTGAGTAGAAGTTAAGGGGTCAGTAAGAGAGAGGATGCCATCGTCTGCATATAAGCTGACTTTGTATTCCCTATTCCCTATACGGAAACCCGAGATGTTGGGGTGTGACCGGTTTGCGCAAGTGGGTCCAATACTAGGGCAAAAAATAATAGGGGAGAGGGGGCATCCCTGCCACGTTCCATTAGAGATATGAAAAAGTGGAGAAAGGGATCCTGAACCATAAACTTGAGCTGAGGGAGTTGAAATATAAGGCTTTAATATATCCTGTGAGGCCATATGTGTGAAAAACTGCAGATAGATACCTCCAGTGAATGCGGTCGAAGGCCTTCTCTGCATCC